CTTTTCAGTTACAAAATGGGATCTTTAATTGTTGTCATAAGACCACGCTGAGTACAGATTGCTTAACGTTACGCCTATATTTAAGCATCACAATGACTAACTTTCATTACAAGCTATTGAACTTAAAATAATTTTGGCAATGTTTCTCGAAACCTTACTCTACTCCCGTAAAGTTAGTGAAATTCGCGATTTAATCTCGAACAATTTTTAAAATGAAAAAGAATTCCAGAAAAGCAGAACTCATCTTGAGGAAGCTCCTTTATAGGTTCAGATCCTTCAGCCATTTTCGAATTCCAAACACTTGGGAATTCGTGCGTAAAAGCTGAAGTTTAGGAATTCTGATCCGAAGATGAAACAGCAAAAACGTATGCTACGTGGCACAAATTCATTCATGGAACGACCATAAAATGACAACCTCGTGTTGCAACTCTTATAACTCCGAGACTAACAATCATAATGTGCCTAATCTCCAAGCAATGGAGTCTAAATATGGATCTTTATAATAGAACTTTCACGTGCAAGAATATTGGAGTCCTTCAATGATCCATCGTATAAATTCGAGGACCTTAAGTTAGATATAGATGATTAAACTATATGGAAATTATGAAAAATCTGATTTATGTAGGTAGGCCCAATTAATGGACAATTCCCTTAAATTATCAGGAAATAAATTAAAAAAAAAATAATTACAAATCATTTTATTAGCACGAAAGAAATTAATTACACAACGAACTGTCCAAACAAAAAAATAATTCCAGTTTTGTTTTCGGTGAAAACACCCTTTTTTTTCTTTTTCAATCGTAACATAATTTATGAAAACGAAACTAATAATTATTTTTAATTATCACCAATAATTATCGCAGTTTCGATTTTGTAGCACTAATTACACCCGGTAACCTAATTTCCCTTTTAACGGGGAGCAGCTCTAATAAATTAAATAAACTGTACAGGCCTATTTACAATTTAATATGTCAAGTTTTAAAACACAGAAAAATATTTAAATCCAAAAAAAAATTGGCAACGTAACACGAAATCGGTCCGTCAGACAAATCACGTGAAGTCAGCCGGTCCAAAATAATCACGCCCGATTATTTAAGGCCTTCCACATCACGTGATTTTTATCTGCATTTTGGTTTTGCTTTTGTTACGATATTGCGCTTGTTGCCAGATCAGATCCACATTTGTAACATTCAGGAAGTGCTGGACCAGTGCTTGATTCCTAAAAATAATCTAAGAACACTTCAGAATGGTTCCCCTCTCGATTATAGAAGCAACAGAGATTTTTATAGTTAATTCTGATAATTAATTTTTTGCTCCATAAAACGAGGAATCTTCGTGGTGCCACAAGAGATCATCGTGGTCAATTGCAGCATTGATCCATGACGTTTCTTCGGGTTTTTTTTTCTAAATTTTCAGCATTTTGATAAGAATCTTGATTTCTAAACTGAATATTTTAATTTTTGCAACAGTCCGCATGCAAATATACATGTTAATCAATGCTGTTTTCGATAAGCACACTTCTTTATTCTGTAATAAAATATCGGAAAATATCCTTATCTAACTTAAACCTCCACTCCTATTACTATATAAGAATCATTAGAGATAAAGTTTTTAGAATATTCACCTGTAAAAAAATTTTACCTTTGATAATTCTATACGTTACTTATTACTACTTAGATAAATAAAGTGATGAATCAACAAGGACACGTATTGGCATTGATTACGCCAAGATTCGACGTCCATGATGATGATTCAACGCGTAAATCAACTCTTTACTTCGTGGAATTAAACTTATAAACAATTAAAAAAGTAAATAAATCATAAATCCTACCCAATAAATAAATAAAGAAAAACTAAGTAACATCGTTACGTCACTTTTTTGAATTTGTTTCTGCTAGATCACACACTAATTTCGACAGGAAGGGCTTTCAGCTTGTTAATAAGGCTTTACACCAGTGAATTTTGGCCCTTTTTTTTGGGCGTTCAAAGACACTTTTCTCACAGAATTAATCGCCAAGTTGATAGAGATGCCATCATTTCATCACTTACACGAAACTAACGTAACGCGTAATTTGTGCTTAGTCAGTTTCTACGTATCTACGTTTCCAAGTTTTCCTTCCCAATTATACTCTAAAAACACTACTTTCTAACGTGTGCCCGGATTAAAGAACTTAAAGATAAACCCTCCTAAAATTATTTAATTTTCATTGTTATCGATGAATAAAATAATGGGCCGTCACATGGCGGAACGACCTTTTGACCTCTTCCAGTAAACGAAGGGGGAGAGGAAAGCAGAATTCTGTTTTGGTTTTATGTAGGCAAAACAAAGAGGCAACTCCAATCGATAAATCCTGAAATTCCCGCGGTTTGGTCGATCGTAGTTACGCAATATTGCCTTTCGACCCCGCTGTTGGCGGCAAAATTGCGCAACGCATTTACAATGATACAAAAGCGTGTTTTTTTTTATTTTTATTTTTTCTTTGCAAGAGAAAACCAGCCAGCGTCACGGACAAATATTCTGCTACTTATGTAACAAGAACTACTACATGTCCTTGGGAGATACAACGACCCAGGGAGGTTCAAGGCTAGTATCAACATTTTGGCATCAATCCCAAAATAATATGCTAGGTGGCAATTCGTCAAAAAGTAAATATTAATGCGGAATTTTATAACATTTTTTTGTTGTGTTGCTACGGTAGAGCGCTTCTATCCTCCTCCTCCTCCCCTCCTATCCCCCCGAGTGATGGGCTACACAATGAAAAAAATTCGTTTTGTAACGTAGCTCCTCCTCTTCCTCCCTTTTTTTTCGAAATATCGTCTACGTAATAAAATCTTTCGTCTATTATACGTCGAATTTGTAATTGCATTGTTACGCAACAATGCTCGGTTCGAAAAACGTTTATTTTGACATTTAAAATTTAATCTAAGATTTAAATTTCGTTCAACTCTAATGTACTTTTAATACTAAGAAAGCACGTTTTTTTTTTACCCCTCCCCATACAAAAACACTTCTAAACTCCTTAAAATCTATCGTAAAGGTAGTCTAATAAGGAAAAATAAGGCTAAGGATTGCTGTTTTTAAAATGCCTTTTAAAATTTAAAGCTGAAGAATGCCTCACTCTTCCCTTTGGAAGAAGATTCCTTTAGTTTATGTCTAGCCTTGGAAATCGAAGGCACTCGAGTTGAAGAAACTAAGGTAATTCTTTTTCAATGCCATAAATTCCGAAGAGCTTGAATCCTTTATAGGGCATTCTAGGACAAATTTAAATCCATATTTTAATCATACAATTTACAGGCGCAGGAATCAACCAGACGTTCCCATAACATATTTAGTGATTTTACGCACCGTAACAAAATAAACTTCAGCAGATTTTGGTTACGAAATCATTCATACAACGGTACAGTTGATTAACGAAATCCGATACGCATGCCATTAAGTGCACATTACACTACTACTGTTTATTGTTTGATAATTTACTGCACACGGAATAATACAGTACTTACAATTAAAGAACGAAAGTATTTACATGCGTCGCACTTCTACCCCTACGAATTTCGCATCCATTTATACAATCATTTGAACTATTTCTAGATGGCGATTGGATTGACCTCCCGCGAATATACAGGAATATTTTTTTTTTTTTTCTTGCGTGTGATGCTCGTTTACTTATTTAGAAAATAAAACTCGCGATGCCAGCTGCAGTTTTATCTGAACGACCCGATTTTTTAACGTTATGATAAACAATTTTATCGAAATAAAGCGATAAAAGTTTTACTTTTACTTCTCCACCGATTGTACTGTACATATATATATATTATATTGCACGATCGGTGTTCAAGGTCAGAGGAAGTGGCATTCAGACTTCCCATTTCAAAGTTCATTGATCAGACTAAAGATGTGTTTTAACTGACCAAAATTGGTCAAAACGTCAGATTAGACGTTTCGCCATTCTTAAGCCAGACGAGTCCCTCCCCGAAAAAAAAAAAAAAAAATTATTATAAGTTGTGGGGGAGGAGTTGCAGACTGGTCTTATGTATCGGAAGAGCCGCTCCTCCCCCCACTCCGGGATCGAATTTCCAATATCGGAGCTTCCATCAGTAGTTTAGCATCGGTAATTACTGAAAACAGTTGAGAGGGGCCCGGATCTAGGGCCGGCACCAAACGTGGTACAACAGGTCCTTGTTACGCTGTTGGATTTCTTAAAAATAAACAAAGGAAATTGGGAGGCGTGCGTTTTGTGGATTTTAAAGGTCACAGAATTAAAAACTAACCTTTAATCGAAGAGTTTTTAGAGTAATCTCTAGAGGAAAAAAATATTCCCTGTTGTTATTAGGTTCCGAAACACCTAAACGTAGGCCGAACGAAAATGTTTACTGGCGTAACCACACACACAAAGCGACCACCATATGGTAGTAATTATTATTCATACCATCCCTATACACGCCCGTTAAAGACTCGAACTAACTCTTAGTTGCCCTCAAATTCGAGTGCCAAGTCTCGAAAACCCCCGACATATTACACTTATTAAAAGGCTCTCCTCCTAACGTGAACTCGTTTGACTCGAGCTCTCATTTTCTACAATAAAAATCTTTTTCTCGATTTTATTGTCCTCGTTCTCGCCCCCCTCCAAACCGGGACCGAAAATTATAGTCTTCTGCGTAAAACAAACTCGACCGACAGCTCTGGTGTCTTTGTCCTTTTGTCTTTCTTTTTGGCCTAATTTCTGGAGGAAGGCCAGGTGCGAGAGAGAGAAGTACGGGTCGCGCGCCGTATCACCTGCTTTCCTCGCGCCATTGTGACGTAACGCGCGGCTCGAACCTACGCGTTACTGTGGGCGAGAAGAGCGGGAACAAAAACGCGCGCACGCCCCTACCGACGAGCGAAGCGACGATGCCGCGACACGCGAGCGAAAACAGAACTAAGACAGAGAACGAAACATAAAAGTAAAAAAAAAAAAAAACAAAATCACGTACTGAAACCAATTTTAATGTCCTCCGTCTTAAAACTCAATAAAAACTCTGGCATTTTATTGTCTTTTTTTTTACAATTCGATAAAAAGTATTATCATAAGCCGACTTCTCTTATAATTACAACTCTAGGCCTATGTCGAAATTAGCAAAAAACAAAAAGAAAAAAATTTAAAAAAAAAAAAAACGAAGGATTATGCACAGCCTGAAGGCCAACTAAACCAAATTCTCACATGGATAATAATATTTATATATAATATATATATAATATTTATATATACAATTTACGTATATACATTAAAGATTAAGGTAGGAAAATCCCCCTTCGATAAACGAACGGGTGCACTAATATTTCGTTTTTTAGGTATTAGTAGTTGTAGTAGTAGTAGTGTGTACTTCCGACACGTACAGTTAAATTAAAACACACTTTTCCTGAGACTAATTGCCGCACGTGACCTACATACATCTTAGAAAACGAAAACGATAGAAGGCACGACCGATTGACAGATTTTTTTTCCGAAGGAGAAAGAAAACATCCGAACCCGCGCGATCGGGGGAAACGGAAACTAAGGGGAAGGTAAACACAAAATTAAAAAAAACAAAAGGAAAAATTCGGTAGTTATGTTCCCCGTACACCAGCCAGAACACCTTGGTACACGCAAACACTTGACGAAAAAAAAGGTGGGTTGTACGGTACGTGCCGCATCGGGGGACCGTTGGCCGCGCTCGCGCGCGCCACGTACACACGCCACCAGGTGACGGCTCCGTCGAGACCGCGATCGGGACTAGATGAATCAGGACTTTATACGCGCACACACACAAAACACAAAATAAAAAACGAAAAAAAAAAATTAATAATAATAATATTATATACGAAGGATTTTTTTGCGCCGAGTCCCACACTACTGGAGGGACTGCCTGAGTTGGCGCAATCGTCGCTCCAAATCGTTCTTCCTCTTGCTCTCGCAGCGTAGTGTCCTTTCGAGGGCGTTGCCGGTGGAGGTCAACTGTCGGACGTAGGCGGTGGCTCGTGAGAGGATCAACACCTTGGGGGCCTTGCTGTTGTCGCGTAACTCCGGTACATTGTCGCGCAGGTGCTGGAAGGCAAAGCGTAGATCGTCCCTTCTCTTGCGCTCCATGTGATTGTGTTGGCTGCGCTTCTCCGTGTCCTCCGAATCCGAACTCGACCTGCTGCTACTGCTGCTGCTACTACTGCTGCTGCTGCTACTTCCTACGCAATCCACGCGACGCTTCGCGTCGAAGGTGTTGCGACGACCGCACTGCTTGGAACGTATTGCGTCGGTCGCTGTGTCCTCCTCGAAGTTCTGCGCCTGAACGGTAACCACGTCGATCTCGCTGTCTGCAATTAGTACGAAACAGAAAAGCAAAAAATTAACATATCACCTCTATGGCACGTCGCCGCTCGCAAGAGAGCTTTCCGGAGGCGGCGGCAAGCGCGCGAAATGCCTCGGCCGCCGGTCACGTGACGTCTGTCAGCTCCGAGACGACGTCGGCCGTGAGTAACACCCCCCGGCGCGAGCTCCGGAACGGCGGAAATGCCCGTCTCTCTCGCGGCCGACCGTGACGTCACCGGCCGCGGTTCTTACGTAAGTAATCGGAAATCCTTCGCCGTACCGAACTAATCCGTTGGACAGACGTCTCGGTAGCGGCCCAGACGCTTTCCAGGACAAGACACGAGGAGCCGACAGTCTAGACTGCGCCGAACAGCAGTCCACCGCTCGCGCGTCGGCCGATCGAAGGCCACCGACCCGAATTCGACGTCGCCAGATGGCGGCGCGTTGCTACACCTACATCACAGCCGTCGCGCGACAGCGACGACGAAATCGCGCGAGAGATTTAAAATGCCACGACGCGACGCTCCTCGCGTTAAGTCGTCACCGAGCGACACACTTTCCCGAAACTGGCGCAGACGATACGTCGACGAGGGGGAGGGAAACGCAGCGAAGCGCCGACCCACGCGATAGGGGAACGAAGACAAAAGAAAAAATGAAAAACGAGTTCCGCATTCTATTTGCGTAGCGGGACAGACGAACAAAAATGCCGACGGTTGGCGAACCCTTTTCCAAAGCCACTTTCTAAAAATAGTGGTAAAAGGTGTAAGTAGTGTAGCGGCACGGCGCGTGACGCTGCCTTTTCGCAGACGTCGGCCACGTCATCCGCTGACGCATGCTCCGACGGTCGATGGCTCCTCGTGCATTTAAATGGCCGTCTGCGGTCGGAGGACTCGGCAAGTTGCCAACGACGAGTGACGAAAGAAGAGCGCAGTCTGCCCGCGCTCGTCCTCTACCCTCTGAAAGTCGGGGGTAGACGCCCTCCCCTCCCAGACGGCTACCGCTCCCGCCTTTTTTCGTAGTTTCCTCGTCCGATCGGGCGTGGCGCGCGCGCGAGAAAACTCGAAGAGCGGGGCGATTTTCCCGCATTCCGGAGCGTCCGGAACTCGAAACGAAGCCAAAGTCGTGCGGCGATGCGGCGCACCAGCAGAGCCGCGTCGCGCTTAAGAAATTCCATCTCCGAATTTTTAAACCCGAATAAAAAACTTATATACGGTATCTACACACTCGCGTAGACGCGCTGGCAGCGTTCCCTTCCTTTCCTATCGCGCGACCGCAAGTTTCCTGTGCGATGTCGCAAAGCGCCTTTCCCCGCATTCCCGTCGCGTGCCTCGTCTCCTCCCCCCCACGATTACACCGAATTCGCATAATCGTCAACGATACGATTCCGCGTCCTAATCACGTGAGCATCACGTGTGACAACCGGAAACGATCGGCACTATAAAACAAAATACAAAAGGATACCGGCCGGCGCGGCGCGCGCGCGAAAGAGAAGAAAAGATCCTCACCTGAATCGGAAGGAGTGTCGCTGAGGATGACTACAGGAGAATTACTACGTTGTTCTTCCCTCGATTGAGAGTAACAGTGATCGCTGAGAGGCGTGTAGTTGTCGGTCAAGTCCCCGTATTCGAAGGCGACGCCAATCGGCGCGCCGATAACAAACGATGTCACAGAACGATCACAGACGGCCAAAGGATTGCAGTAGCCCTCGTCCGACACAGATTTGGTACGAGGGCGCGAAACTGTCCTCTGCTTACAGTCTTCCGTACACTGTCCCGACCACATGCAGTCGTGCTGCACTTCGCTCTTCAAACCCCACACTTCCCCCAGTTCCGGTCCGTCCGACACATCGTTGTGAGGAGAACGTGGAGGAGTCAGCAAGGGGGGTTTCCAAGACAAATCGGTATTTTCCATATCCTTCCACATGTCTTCTCCACCAGAAGAACCAACGTAGGTGCCACAACACCCAATGACGTCATCTACGCCGTCCGATGGGAGCAAATATTCGCATTCCGGCATGACGCTGCCACAAAACACCCGCGAGGGCATGACGATTCCGATGTCTTCTCCACCTGCAACCAGAAATAAAAAAAATCAAGACTAAATTCGCCACACAACCTGTAAAGGAAACGGGGGGAGGACCGATTTTTTATTCTCGGTGAAAGTATTTAGGGAATTCCTCACTCCATTCACCCGGCTACCGGTTTCCCGCGCTCGACTCCCGCGGTTTTCTAGTGTCTAACAAAACTTGCGGATGCCAATCCCGCGCTCCTCGTGCTACCATAGTAACCAAACACGGGAGTGGGGGACACCGTATCCCATTCACGTGCACCGATATACCCCCACCCCTCGAGATTTCGACAACACTATAAGCGATATATTTTCTCGCGTTACGCCCCCCGAATTAACGAAAACAACGCGTGAGATATGCCGGAGAGTTAATGGAAAAGGTAGTAAAAGGTCGAGTTTCCATGCAAAATGGCTCCGTACAGACACCCAGACAGACCTTAACTACGCCCACTATTGTTAAGTAACTCAACGCAGGAAAATTGCGCTCACCTGTTTAAGGTATTAACCGATTAAACATATAAGATACCGGAACCAAAAGAAGATAGACAAAGGAGTAAATTTCGTCACGAGTCATGCCACACGTTGTCTTTTCGTCTCTGCAATCCCACACCTTCCTCGACTTAGAGTAAAAGGTACACTCTCACACCGTACTCCTCCGCCCGCCGGGGAACGTGTCGCAGTGCGTAAAATTCGACGCCATTTCGAAACGACGCGTTATAATTGCAACAGCTCAAACTAATCCAAATAACGATTTAAACGTATTCTCGTGCAAAATTAATAATTCGACGATATTATAACATGTAAATTTTAAAATCGGCATCTGCACTATATCGTCTCTCGGTTTATTACGAAAGTTGCGAGACGACGAATGGCGGGAAGCCGCCGTGGGCGTGGTTTAGGTCGTCTGAACCAATAGGAGAGCGTTCGAGCACGAGGTAGGATCACGTGCAATTTAAATTTTTTTTTTTTAAATTTATTTATTATTTTTTTTTTTATAAGAATAATTCGGAAGTGATGACGATGTGTGGCGCTTTTACGCTACAGTTTGCCGGTTCTTAGAAGTAATGAATATGTATGGTGACTTCGCTACATTTTTCGAACGTTTGTAATATTTAATGTTAATTAATAAACAAGAAATGTTAAAATAAATAAAATAAAAAGACATTTTCCAGAAAATGTTTTTTTATATAACTTTATGAATATTAACCTTCTTTCGTAATAAATTTATTACTAAATTTCCATGAATCGTAATTACCATTGACGTGTCGTTTCATTCATTAAAAATGAATGAAATTCTTCTTCTGACTTATTTAAAAATTAAATTACATAAAAAGTGTAATTAGAATTATTTAAATTATTTATTTTTACGTATTTTTACGTATTATTTATCGATTTAAAAATATTCTAGAATATTAAAATGACCCAGGAAAGTTTATAAAATTCAAGAATTTAAACAATACTTTATAATCTTGTGTAGGCTTATTTGATTTTTTAGCATTTTATTATTATTATTTTAGTGATATTATTAGATTTATGGGTGTTCGTATGAGTCTTGTAACGTTGTTAAGGTATATTTTTTGCCTTATATTTGATGTACAGTACCTAACCGATGAGGACCATTTAATACCGGGGCCGACATGTGTTTTAAGTTGCAGATAAGGCAATAATGGTTTTAATTGTGTGATAATCCTTTAAGAAAATTACTTACTAAGTATTTGTTGAAAGTATATTGTATTGTTTTCACATGATTTTTGTCAAATTTTTGGAATCTTTACTAGTTTTTAAGGTTATTTTTGTGTTTTCTTATATTATTTTCTAAATATTTAAATTATTTTGAGCCTTTTTTTTTTATCATTTTTATAGTATTTTTGGATTATATTTGATTTTTAAATACTTTATATAAATTGCTACACTTTTATCATTAATAATAAAGTTTTTTTTTACTAAAATTCCAAAAAAATATAACGAATTTATTTAATTTTAAGGGATTTATTTACAGATTTTTAGAATTATTTTCCTCAAAGACTGAAGATGAATCGACAAGAATTTAAATAGTAAACAAATTGTTTGCACAAACAACATTTCATTGTTTGGCAAACAGCAAAATTCATTTAAAAAAAGTGTAATTTTAATTTAATCTTCTGTTAAAACCCTCCAAAATTAACTCTAAAAACGAAATTCTTAATTTTTTTTCATAAAATTAATTTAAAAAAAATAAATATTAAACATGATTAAGAGATTTTTTTTGATGATCTTCCAAAAAATTCAAGCGAATAATAATGAATAATGAAGAATTCTTAGAATACTTTATGACTAAGTAACTTTTACTTTTTTCTTTGATCTATAAATATATTTCTAATTTTTAAATGAATGTTTCTATTATATGTGATAAAATTAAAATAGGATTTTAAGTGGCAAACGATCATCTAAAAAATTAATTCGAACATCCGCTACGGTATCTTTTATAGAGGAAAAAATATGTTGAACTTTACTTAGATAAAAAAAAGCAAAAGTTCTAAAAATAATTGTTTAACAAATTAAAATAATATGTTAAGTGTACTGACAATATAAAAACGTATTTTATTATATAATTAATTTTATTTTCAGACCATTAAAGGTATTTTTTTTTAAATATTTCGTTGATTTTTGGTCTTTTAAGAAGAGACTAGCAAATCTTGTGGTATTTTTTTTTTCACGATTTTTATGTATTTTTTTAGCCAATTTTATATGCATTTTTTGGATACTTTTATTTATTTATTTTTGAATAAAAAGAGTAGAATTTTACACATTTTTGGGGGCAATTTTAATTGATTTTTTGGAAAGCGAATAACAGAATTTTACACATTTTGTATGTGTTTTTTTTTTTAAAGAAACGAATAGAATTTTACATATTTTATTAAACATTTTAGAATAAATTTTAGAACCGAATATCTTTTGAATATTTTTATTATTTAAAATCACGAACATTACACTTCCTCAACTAGCTATTGATTGAATGTTACGGTTAAAGATGCAAATAAATTTGAATTTAACACAAAGATTTTATTTATTTAACGGATTTATTCTAAAAAAAAAATAAAAAATAAAGTACGATTTAATTTAAATTTTAAAATATTAACGAATTTTCTTAACGAATTAAATGAAAACGACAATCTCTTCTGATTGAACTCTTTGTGCTTTTGGATTCCAAGAAAACCTGATGTGTAATGAACCAAAGTATGATCTTATTGAACTTTGTATTGGGGTCATCCCGAATTCAAACAAAAGGTCCATTTCTGGGAATGGTCAAATACCAACTCCTAATTAGTCTTCCTGTAATTCTAACTTCCTCCTCTGTTAAAACTTCTTAAAACATTGTTTGCGGCCCTCCCTAGTGACTAGAAACATGTAGGAAACATATTAAAAAGGTGTTTTGAATGAATTAAATTGATTAGAAACTTATTTTATTATGATTGACAAGGTCATCTGTTTGGTTTTAGTTTAGTCAGATAAGTACAGATGGTCTTACTTTAAAGATATGGTAAAAGTTCCTCGAGGGATATTCAGATAAGAGATATGAGTAAGAGATTAACAAAATAGCTAAAAATACAATAGAAACTAAATGAGGATGAATTGATGAGTCATAATTACATCCTTTCACTTATAAAAATCAAAACTTTATTATCAAAAAACATCTAAAAATTCAGTAGAAATTAAGCCTGGATGGATTTCTTTACCTTTTTTCTGTTATAAAATGAGTAGTTTTATTAACATGTAAATTGTTGGTATCAATTTGATGCTGAAGACATACTTTAAACTCTAATAAAAAGTGTATAATAGTCTCTACGCCATTTCATTCTTTATTCTTTTATGTGGCAGTTTGTGATGGGTGTGATTTAAAGGTATATATATATATAAAAGGAACAGGACAAGTGAAGTAATGAATGATAAAACGTAAATTAATATTAAAGTAGAATGAGATTTGAGAATAGATGACTTTAAATTTGTCAGTCGAACAGCTGCCTCACCACAAACACCTGTTGATTTTCAAAAATCGAAGGCCTCTCGTGTTCTCTCCCTCTTTGTAACCCCGCGGCTCTGGTAAAGAAGGGTGACAGCATTACTAGTATGCTCTTTATAGTTAAGTATATATATTGTATATATATTTATATACCAAATTACGCTCTTAAGTATATATCTATCTACCCAATCAGAACAATTGTAAAGTCTTCATAAAATGTCAAGAAATTATAAAATTTAGGACGTTTGACCCCTATTATATGCATTTAAACCTAAAATATCCGTTAAAGATTCAAAAAAATTTAAATTTAAACGATAATTAGTTCAAAAATCAAAGATATTTTAAAATCTTTTAACGGGTAACGTCCTCAAGTTATCAATTTCTTTGATACGGAAATTCTAATGATTTTCATAATTCTAGAAACTGGATGCTGTAAAATCAAATTAAAATTGAGTTGAAGAGAAGATTTACCTTATTCATAACCGTATTTTATAAGGCTTATTATAAATTAGTTAGCCTGAAGGCTCTTAATTCCGGAAGAGAGTCTCATTATTTCGATTAGCAGTAACATAGTGATGATAACACGCAACTCTTTCCTTCCATTTACGTCAAGAATATCTGTAGTATTATGTAAAAAATTACACTAATTATAACGTAATTGTTTATACATTTCGTAGTATGATGCGCCTTATAGCCTTTAGGCCTAAATCTATCTTTAAAGTTACCCAAAATACGATTATATACGTTAAAAATACAGCATAAATTACAAAAAAAAACATTACAAAATGGCTAATATGTTTACATACATTTTAAAATTTATAATTCCAAGAAATTTAAAGTAATAACTATTCGATGTAATGAATTAATTAGTTAAGTTCCTTCGTTTCCTCCCAAAAGTCAAGGTTGAGAGAGGTTGCTCTACATCCCTCCGCCACTCAGCAAATAAGAAACAGGTTAATGGAAGGTCTGTAGAATTTAAAAATATCTATAAATTCTAAAAATTTTGAAATTTTTACTGTAAAAACGTGTAAAATTGAATTTGGAGTAGTCAAGAAGCATCTAAAAGCGTAAGGTTAAAGCTGCTCTACACCACTCTACCATGTAGTAAATAATAAAAGGACTGCATAATCTTAAAAAAAAATCTATAAATTCTAAAAAATTTAAAGCAATTTTTCAATAAATCAATCACAATTTTAAGACCAAAGTATTCAGAATATCTGAAATATTACTGTTAAAAAGTAAGGAGCGAGTTAAAGAATGGACATATCTGGCCACAGCGAGGGCTTCGCCTTCTTAGAAGTCTTATTTCATTACACATTAATGTACTAATATTATTGTTCTATGTTTGTATGTGATAATTTCTCTAAGAAAATTCGGCCGGATGTTTCAGAAATTCTGAAAACTGTACTGGCTAAGGTAAGAAATAAAGAACAAGTAAATAGGGGGCTTCAGACGTCCAAAAATCTATAAATTTTAAAACATTTACATTTCTACAGCAATTTTAGAGTGTAAAAAACGTTAAACATCATGTTTTTAGATGTAAAATTGAAGCTAGAAGAGTACAGAACATCTGAAAAGACAAGGTTAAGATTCAAGATTCTTCTTCACCCTGTATTATGTAATAAATAATAAACAGATTAAAAGGAGAACTTTATCATCTAAAAAACTTTCATAAATTTTTAAATAGCCTACGTTTTTAAAGTAATTTTTGAGTGAAAAAAAACGTTAAATATCACACCTTTAAGATAGAATTAAGCTGAATTACAAAACATCTACAACAATGGTTAAGTTCACTCTACACCC